AACTTTTAGACACACTCTCTAACGTTGCTACTTCTGCTGCTGGAAAGAATAAGCATCCATCGAAACTGACTGACACTGAGCGACATGGTGCTTTACACTAGTGATGTTTCAGGAGCGGATTCCCTTGATTCTTTATAAAAGGGATTAGTTGCTATGTATGTTCATATGCTAGGAATTTATCATTAATCATAATCCCACCAAGCCGTGTCTTAGAATTTTGACCAAATTTGTAATTCTCAATTTTTGGATTAAAATGTCATTTGTTCATCGATATATTTATTGGAAATCCTCCTGGCATCTAAGTACCTCATTTCCTACAATTATAACTGTTACTATTCGTAATTCTCTGGTGGTTTTTACGCGTTTCTGTATGAACAGATAATTTCATATAATGGGTTTTACCGCGTTGCTCCACCACTCCGTGATTTCTTTACTAAGTGAAAGTAACTTAGACCAATCGCGTCATTACATATTTGTTGAGTTAGTTGATTCATTAGCGTATATGTACCATTGTATAATATACAATGCAATATGCATATGGTATATATCTTCCCTTTCATGGAGAGTTAAGTTTAAACAAATGACGTTTTGGGGCTGTGTGAAAATTTAATGCCGATTCAAGTACGCATTAGATCGCGGTAGGTGTCGTATGTGTTTCTTGATGGAGAACTGTCCCAAAACCGTATATCATAATTGTCCTGGTCACCGTCATAATTCAGCCGTTTAGAAACTTGGAACCCTACTAGTTCCTGGTTGCTTTCGCTGAAGGCAACATCTATGACTTGCATTTAAAACTTACCCCATTCATCTGGTGTAACTGTATTTTGTACTTAGCATTAGGTTAAGCAGTTGCTTGTACCTTATGGTTTTCTGCTCATGGATGATCTGCAGTTCATCACTATTTGATCATTTGACATAGTGACTAAGAAACTTCTTTCCATTTGTGGTGAATGGAATAGTTAAAGCACCCTCTGAAGACATCGTTGTGACCTAACTGCGACGTGTAGCATATATAGTCCGCATCTCTGACCTTGAGAGAAAAATGTGCTTCCGCACTTCAACTATTAGCTCTGACAGGGGCAAAATACATGCTCGCCACCGCGTAACGTTTCTTACTTCGAGATTACAACAATTCA